CAGTACAATAATCTGAAGTGTTGACACTTCATGACATTGTTTTCACTTTCAAATTAATTCCAATGTCCAAAACTTCATATCTTTAATATCAGAAAATCTCGGTTTTGATCGAGAGGCCAATACGTTGGTTACTACATATGAAATCCAATCACATCATGTACTCTCACTCTCTTCAGACTTGAGACAATGAGTGTGTTTATTTAAGGAAAATTTATCCACAAGAGTTATCCACTTTTTTGTGACTAGAGCATAGCGATAAGAATTTTTCTATCAAAAAATGGCTTTTTTCGGGGACGTTTCTTACGATGTAAGTGCAAGAAAGAAAAAAAGGTTTGGCATGATGATGGTGTTCTAGGTGCCTTTTCAAATAGCAGTTGTGGTTAACGAATCATAGTAGTACATGCTGGAGGGAAATGTGTTTCATTTCTGGTGCATTTCTTACTTACAATGGCAAATTAAAAGAGTACGATTTTCATGATGAAATGAATAGCGACATTTTATTAAATGGGTTAAAGAATTCTTCATACCAAGATTGGCAAAAGGAAGCTCTGTGGTTTTGAACAATGATCCATATTACAACAAGCAGGTAAACAATGTTTCCTCATAAAACAGTCGCAAGATAGAAATTAGAACAAAATAATATTTATTTGCTTCAAGAGAAAACTGAGCTATTAGGTATGGCGAAGAAAAAACGTCAAGAAACACGTACATGACGAAATTCTGTGAATAAATCGTTTTCGTTCCTGCGGGATTATCTCCCAAACATTCTGACTTGAATCCAATCGCATGGATTTGGAATATGGTGAAGATGATAAACCGTGAAAGAAACATGTCAATGTATCGCTTTCATATTTACAAATTTTAACAGCAGATGCTATCTGACCCTGCGGATTATGTGGATACGGTGGGATACCCACACGTAAAATTCCAAGTGGGTAAAATTCCCATCCGGTCTTAGGGTTAGAGAAATATTTCATAAACGTCAAATTCCAAAAATTTCCGAGAAATATTTCATGAACGCCCAATTCCGTAAATATTATCTTCATTTTTTATGTGTTTTTCTTAATGTTAATCGTTTGAAATTATTACATTCAATAAAAGAAGGTTCTTGTTATATTTTGTAGCGACCAGAGACTACGCGAGCGTTCGCATCACCACACAATGCGAAAATCTTTATTTCATTTACCAATGTTTTGTCTGCGACGGTCACATGAAATCCTTTCGAAACCTAACGCTAGACCCACGCCTTTATCTTTTCTTTAGTTAATTACGAGCCATGTACAAGGAAACTCTGTATTCTTGCATCACATTACGACGGTTCACTCTTCCTATTTATTCATTAATTTGATCGAATTTCTTCTTTTGAATTAACGGCAGGAAAAAACTCGTGCTTTGGGTATGCGCATTAGTAGGTTGTTCGCAAAATTTACAACGACTGACGACGTCTACGGCAGCATATCTGTTTGTACGTGTGTAAGCAAATAAAGGGACATGGAGACAGACAAATGGTCAGATTCGTGGTGCAACGGAAAAGAAAAAAAAATAGGAGAAGAACGTAGGCAATGCTGTTAGGCAACAGAGAGAAGAGGAGAAACCTCCATCATTTCTGAAAAAAGTCTACGGAAGTCTTTACAGATGAGCATGTTGAGCCAGCTGACCAGCCCAAATCAAAAGAGCACGTAAGACTATTCCGGAAATCGTGAGCATGGAATTACACCAGTTAGAATTTTCGTGTTTTTTTCTCGAATTTAATGCAAGAACTATCTAACATAACCAAACCTATAAAATAATGAGGTAATAAAATATAAAAAATACGAAAATCCGGAGTTAAAATGTGATGATATACAATAATACTTAACGACTAATTTATCATTCAAAATAGTTTTTATTTCGAAAGTTGAATCTCAACCATGTTTTTGGTCATCATCAGAACAATAATTCAGGATTTAAATATACATATAAAGTTGCTTGTTCTACGAAAGCGTTCAGAGTGAAGAGTGAATAAAAAATGTAGTAAAACTGACATTAAGATTCATTGTGATGGATGTCAGGTTTGCTAGAAGTTGTTTTTTTCATTCCATATACCTTCATTCTAAGTAGCAAACCTCGTATTCTCTCGTCTATTTTCTGCTTACTTTATAATAAAATATAATTTTGAAAGACGAGTAATATAAAAGTAAAAAATAAATTAAGCATCTTAAATAATTGAGTTCGTGTATTCGTGTTCGTAATTTAAACGTTATTGAAACGAATAAAATTAATTCATTATACTATGCCATCAGAATTCTTTCAAATTCAGTCATTCATACTCCTCATGTTTATTTCAAGAATATTCATTCCCACCTGAGATATGACATAATATTTTGGGGAAACACATCGTATAGCTCCCAGAATTTTATATTACAAAAAGAATTGTACGACTTATAAGCTTCTCTTTATTTAGTCAGGAATTCTACCACTGCCGTGTCTCTTTATTTACGAAACAGTGATTTTTGTCAAAAATGAACCTTGATGGTGGTAACATATTTTCATCAAATACTCGACGTGTTACACTCGACGTAGTAATCATATTCATCAGGGGACAGTATCAATATCTCACTAAAAAGCACATACAATATATGTACATTATTTTACATCATAGCCAGATGACATTAAACGCTTAAATCTGATTCACAAGTTTTAGTCCCACGTAAATTTTTTTCTGCTGCATAACTGTCTATACAATTAGAAACTATACTGAGTATAAGAAAGAAAAGTAATATTTATCTTATGGATTCACGATACGAATTTTTACATTTTACGGATCCATGATATTGAATGAATAAATTACCATTTGGAGTGCATAATTTTAAACAACCTGTAACAAGTATACCTCAGCTTCTGGGTCAATGACCCCTGTCGGTCAGGTTTTTCGTCCAGTTTCCTGAATCTTTGGGCGAATGCTGAGACGGCTCTTTGCGTTGCTTATATATATAAATATAACTTCACTATCTGAGCACGTTTTCTCAAGTTCAGTAGGAAATACAGTTATTCAAATTATCTTTCTCAATGTTCTTAAGGCAGGAAGTCGATTCTTTCACGATGGGCACGATGAAAAATAATCGCTTCAGTCTATAGCTGATTTGCCTCCGATAATATTTTTTATTACACTGGAGCGAATTTTCTTTATCAATTTTTGTCAAAAATACTCATTTACATTCGTATTTAGAATTCAACTTGTGTATTGGTTAGTGCAGTAGGGATCCCACTATTTAAGAAAACGTCACAGAGAGTCTCCCTATGATACGTCACACACAGTTTTTAGTTGTTTTTAACATTAAATAAATAAATTAAAATAAAGTCTTCTAAACTGTCATATGTCGGTTTAACTTCCAAATTAGTTGTGAATGAATATACGATCTATATAGAATTATTACACTGATATTTGTCATTTTATAGAGTCACCAGTGTGTAGTATCATTAATCACAGGGGGTCATTAATCACATAGAAAGCTCTTAATAATTGGATCACTTATTAACGATTTGAAACAATTTTTCATTACGTTGTATTTTGTGAAAATCTGGAATGTAAAGAAGAAATTCCTGAATTATTCCAAATTAACCCATTAGTGCCCAGTGTTTCCATCTAGTAACACAAATTCCGGCAACGGCGCAGGAGTGTCGATATGTGTGCAATAATGTACGAATTTTATTTGTTTAATAGACGTAGAATCCTAAAAGGAACATTCAAGCAAGTTTTTTCATTCTGAATGCCAGATGTCGATTTAGCCGTGATCGCTAAGGCAATGTACTCTCCTGGTTAATATGTTAACATGACTCACGTGGGTTCGAATCTTCATCAAACCAACTTGGCAAGCACGTTTGTTGAAACCTTGCCAATAATTCCACTATTAGTTGAAGTAAAGTAGATTTTGTGAAAGCCGAGCACGGTAGAGCCTAGTAGAGTTTTCTACGAGCACGATCGAGTATTTTAGGTTGGACGGAAAGTCGGCCGTGACTGCTGACTGAAACCTTGAAGAATACGTTGCCATATTCCACGATTCCTTCTTATACAATCGACCACGGCTCATGAAGGTCTCCTGGTAATGTCCCAGTCACATAGAGATTTTTTTCAAAATAGTGTCAAATTACTCGATAAAATTTTGTACACACTCAAAATTTAATTTTAAAACAATCCTTAACTTTCTCCCTCTTTTTGAAGTGAAACCTCTATAGTTGCGGTAAGGTGGTAGGGAAAATCGGCCTGAATCAGACGAAAAGTGAAACGAGTAGTTCTAGCCGTGGCCATATTCGGTTAATTATGCTCTGCTGTGTGGAGAAATGGGAGAAGGTTTGGGAGAAAATTTAGGGAACAATTGGGGGGACATTTTTGGGTGAATAATTTTGGGAGAACATTTGGGAGAACGTGAGAATATTTAGAGGAACATGTTGAAACTTGTGATGAAGAAGTGAGGAAATATATAGAGGAACATACATTGGGATAATAGAAAACCTACTTATAGAGCTGGGTTATTATAGATGCATAAAGAGAAGAATTTGTGCAGTTAAATGCCAAATTGGATTTTAACAAATGATTGTGATAGCGGACATCTACCTATTAGTATGAAAGTTATGAGATCCAATGCATTCATGGTATGTTGTTAGGATTCACTATTCCATTTAACGTTTGAGTAAGGTATCTTTCTCCTAACATTAAGCTCTGTCTGAAATTGCGTCGAGTGTTGCAGACTACTCATACTTTTATTATTTTATTTGTTACTATTAGAATCATTAAATAGGGTTATTATTATCATCACAATTTTAGTTAAATTCATGCATAGTCGTTACAAAAGACCTTTAATAATATACAAGTACAACACTTCAACTACTCAATACTTTGGCTGAAAAGGGATAACATTAGAAATACTATCCATGACGATTGGTATTTAATGAAATATTTTCAAGGAGTTTAAGGAGGGAATTTAAATGTTTGAGTGTAATTATAGAAAGAGATGAAATATTTATTTACATGTATACAATTTAAAATAAACTGCTTGGCAAGATCTATTTATTTTGTATTGTATTGTATTGTACTGAAAAAAGTGATTTATTAAAACAATTTGCGATTCATTATATACAAGTGGTATATAAAATTAGCAGAATTCTGAGCCCTTGTCTTCTTAAAAGAGTCCATGTTGAGGTTCGTTTATGTTCATAACTGAATTGATGCTCGTACATATATTAGTAGCGATATTAGTAACGCGTCATCAAGCTGATCACCTTATCGTACACCAATTCTTTCACATTGATCGCCCATAAGTAGTCCAGATGGTTAAACTTGCTATGTGTTACCTTGAACTTGCCAATGGGGTTACTTATTTCCTTGTACAACTTGTCAACATCCTGAAAACGAGACAAAAAAATAATGTCAAAAGGAGATGAAGATAAATTTATACAATGAAATGTAACTTTAAATCGCATGTACAGAATATGTTATGACAAATTTGTAATAATAATAATATAATGCAAAGTATATTATATAACAGATTGAAGAGGAAAAAGGAAATAGTAGTAAATACGTTCAATACAAGAGAATGTTTTCACGGAAACAAATTAAGCAGACAGTAAAATGAATTAAATGTTGCAAAATCTCAGAATTCTGGAAAAATAATTTTCACAATATCACATACCGTTATTTTAACAAAGCGAATGCCAGAAAATGCACATCAACGGAATAAAGAAAGCACACTGTCAAATGTGGTATAGGACATCGAGATATTCATAATGTTCTAGGAGGAAACGTCGAAGCTTCACAAATAAGCTCTTCAGAAACTTTTAAGCACATTTTGTCTGTCTAATAAACGCCTCAAATGCCCCGAGTTGATGAGCCGCAATAACCACTCAACACCGAAATGTTGGATTTTTCCTACCGTACGAAGATGGATTCAATATCGTTCCATGAAGGGGCGCACTCACCTTGATGGCAGCGAGCCAATCGTTACCGCTGTAGAACAGAGCTACGGGAGCAGTCACCTTGCTCAGCTTGTATTTGGGCGGCGTCAGCGAGCCGTAGTGGAAGAGATTGGTCGCCGTGTAGTCCCATTGACGGAACTTGACTGCACAACCACAAGTCACGTCATTATAATAATCATTAACGGGGGAAATTTTATTTGGAAGTTAGTGCGATAAAATAATTACTCAGTTTTTGAAGGGAAAATCTTTTATCTTTAATAACAATTGATATTGATTTTAGCTGAATTGATATTACGAGGATCTGTAATAATATTAATAATAATAATAATAATCATAATAATAATAAGGGTGGATACATTCGATGGATGCATTTAACTAGGTTATAATAGATAAATAAACACTTAGTGCAAAAAAGAATGCAAATGCAGATGATCAGGGGAGTGAGTGGAGGTACTTACACGAGACAATCTCCTGCGAGTAGTGCAGCAACTCGTTAGTGCTAGCACCAGCTGGGGTGTGGCCGAGGATCACAGGCAGCATCGTCTAAAAGAGAATCGATCGATTACTTCAAACGGTCACTAACAAGAGCATTTTGTTTTCGTAATACCTATTTTAAAATTCAGAGGTTTAATATAATATGTTATGCTAATAATGTTAACATTCACTCTGTTTTGATCGTATATGCAAAGCTTATTTCTTTTTTGCGTAGAGATTGACATACTGAGTTGAGTTCTTCACTGTCGTATCCAGCGATCAGGAACAGCACGTTCTCACACATGAACTGCGTGAGAGCCTTGTCTTGGCACAGGAGTTTGCCCCCCAGAGTCATTAGCTCGTTGTTCGGCAGGAACTCGTTGACACCCATAATATTGAGCAGAAACTGCAAAGTGAAATAAAGATATTTTCTAACATATTGAAGTAAAATAGAAAAAAATTGTAAAATATGTTGTAAATCTATATACTGATTGTTTTCTGAGATGTCAGGAACACTTTTCAAAATTATTGTTAGCAAAATAGATCATCAAAAGAAGTGATTTTTAAAGGGAAACTAGTAATGAATCAGTTCCATTAAAACTTGAAATTTCTGTATTTATGCAGTAATTCTGTTGTGAAATTTGCGAAAGAAAAATTGAAGCATGATATACAATTCAGAGAATCATGAGAACATTATGTAAGTTAAAATAATGATCTGGAAATAACAAACAGTTGAATTAATGACAATCATTCCTTCAAATTGAATATAACTACAACACGTGAATTTCAGGTTTTGACTATTTATAATAATTTTGTTTGGAAAGCATTCACTGGACTAAAGTTTTAAAACTACGTTTTTTGGTATAATTGAATTACTCAGATATGGGAGATTTCAAATGTAAATGAAGGAAGTTAAAGGCAATAGAAATGGAATTTTAGAGACGAAGCTGTAAACATATCCGAAGAGATAGGATTGGAAATGTAAACCGAACAAATGGATAAATAATGGATTAACAAGAAGGAAAAAGTCACCACCGTTGGTAGGCCACCTATGAAGAATGCTGGAAGAACTGTGTTCTTTTAAAAGTATGGAGTTGGCAACCACCAACGCACAGGAAGAGAGGTAGACCCAGACTCTCATTGAATAAAGATGAAAGGGGGTACGGCCAACACATGACAGACCGTCGCATCAAAAAACATGGCTGCCAAAATCGAAGAAGATGGACGCTTGGGTGCGAGAAAATCCGGATGGTGAAGTTTCACTCGCAGAAGAAGTGGAAGAAAAAGAAGAAATCTTACCTCGAGCGGCTTGTTGGCGAGGGATATGAGCTGGAAGAAGGGAGAGGTCATGTAGCCCATGTACGCGATGGGCGCTAGGGCGAACATGGCCCGAATCTTGCGTTGACTCCGGACGCCTGCAGTAGTCATCACCCAGAAGGCGGTGGTGCCATGGAGTTGGCCGGCGTAGAACAGCTTTCTCCTCGCCAGGTCTGCTCCAAGCACGTTAGTCGAGGAGGCGGGGAAGTCGTTACAGGCCCACTTCAGTGCCAGTTGGAAGTTCCAGAAACTTGCGGTTAAAACAATCCCCCGGGCTTGTACTTGATTGGCGACGGCTGTACCCGCGAGCGTTGCCCATCCACACGTCGTACCCAGCGTCAGCCAAGATGTACGCTGCAAATAAAATGGCGTTGGAAACTTTCTATAGAAAATCACAATTATATTGGTTGAAAACATTTACAATTGATCTAATACGTTTGCCGAGTGTTTTAAAGCATGTTAAAGAATATTCAGTTTGTCTTGGAGGTAGGGAAGTTGCCGTTGAAGCTACCAGATGCTTTTCCTTTTTTCGCAATATTGGAAATACTGAAAATTATTTTGGGATAATATAAATTACAATTCGAGATTGGACAGAATCACGTGTTTTTATATCATATTTTGAGAGAAGATGAAGTTTTTGTAAATATTTTTTGCGAAACTGGATAAACTTGAGTATAAGTTATTTATGGTCCAAAAGTACATATATGAATAGTATTCACTAATAATATATCCATAATCGAAAATTTAATGAAAAAATGCAGCTAATAAGCGCATAATTTTTTTTATTATAATTTATGCTGGGGAGGTGACATCTTTAAAGAACATTCTTAAAGGAAATCCAAGCTCGTAAAGTAGAACTTCCAAATTAATGCTTTAATAAAATCACTCCGAAGGTAAAAAAGCATTGATAGCAAATTATTAGAAAAATGTAGCCTAAAACTGTTAGATTTGATGTTTTAAATTAGAATACAATTCTATTGTATTTGTATATACGCAAATTTTTTTATACAATAGCTGAAAATATTAATATGTTTTTCTGCCTACAAAGACAGAAAGACATACAAACGAAGAATATGTGCAAGTTGGTTAAACTAATTATTTGTTACCTTTTAAAAAATTGATGTGTGTAAATGTGAACTTATTGCTTATTTTGGTGTTATACTTGTTTAAATGAGGTTTTGTCATTTACGTTTACCAAGCAAGAAGGTACTTGTTTACCAGTGCGAGAACTCTCGCATATTAATTCCCACCCTTTCTCCATACATTTCCCTATCCTTTCCATTAAGAAGAAAAGTTGTTAATGAAATGTGTTTATTAGTTAAAAATGTATAAATGTAAGTTCGTACTTACAGAATATGAAACAAAAATAAAAACAATGAATTGTGGATTGAAATAAATTTTCATAAATTTCAGTCTAATATAGAAATGTTCTTCGAACAAATCACACTTCTTTAAAACATTTGAAGTAATTATTCCATCGTTCTCGACAAGTTAGCTTTTCGCTTTCGGTGATAGTTAATGACAAAAATATTAGGAAACGTTTTTACTCTTGAGAAAGCCAAGTAAAGTTTTCGTTACGAAAATGCAGGATTGGGCATGTGCAACCGTACCCTTTGTAATAATATTTAACTTTTCTGGATTTGTTTTGAGAAACAGAGGGGATTGGAGGGGCAGGGCGAGGATTGATGGGGTGCGGACATTGAAAAATTATCTGCACACTAAAATATATAGGATTCTTTTCTACGTTCTTGCGTACCTCAAGAAAAGCAATTCCGAGCCTAAAAATAATAAAACTAATATTGTTACGTTTGAGTAAAAAATATTATTTGTTCCCATGGGAAACTATTCAGTTGGCTTAAACTTCACTCTGTTACATGAAAATATTGCTCAAACTATGTTTACGCATTGAATATCTTAGCGAATTGACTCCTGAAGTTTAATATCAAACGGTGTGTTTTTTACATTATGAATTGACAGCTGGGCATTGATTTAAAGACATCAAGATACCGCCAACATTTAAATCGTGCGTCTGGATTGTGATCGTTGGCAGTAGTCGAATGATTTGCGCTATTTTTTCTACAATTTTAAATTTGGTTGCTTTTTCAAATTAATTCACGTAATAAGCGCGATGGCATAGGGTCACAGGATGATTTAAAAAATTAAGGTTTCAAGGAAGTGAAAGTATTGCCTATGATTTAAAGTTAAATAACAACAATTTTATTTCAAATCAACAATTTTATTATCAAAAATATCATGTCAAGTATATTTATCATGCTAGCGCGTATTGATTTTTGTTGTCCATTTGTTTCAAGCTATTTACGTTAGTTAATTTAAAAAAGTTTGTTCATTGTGTTCTACCATAGCGCAGGTTTTCCCCTACTACCTCTGCGTACCCGTGCAAGAACTCTCGCAGATTAAACCCCACATTCTTCCCTATTTTTCTTTTTTCGTTCTAAGAGGGAAAGTTATTAACGAAACATATTTGTTTGTTTAAAAATGAATAAAGGTAACTTCTATTATACTAACAGAATGTCAAATAAAAAAATAATGCAATTGATGTGCTAAAAAAAATGTTCACTAAAGATTTATTCAATATTATCGATAGATTTCTTGGAGCAATTTACAACAATCCCTTAAAAATATTTGATATTATTCAATATTATGTGACAGATTTTCGTGTTTCGAGGTAGACAAAAAATATTAAAAAAGTGTTTTACTCTCGAGGAAGCAACATGACTGTAGACGCTGACTTGAGTGTTTCACCGAATCACTGTTGATAACGAAAATAGTTGTACAGGTAAAACACAAACGAAACCTAATACGACATGTCTTCACTCTTCACTGAACACCTAAATCCCTTCACAATTATGTACACAACACATATAGACCGCGACAAAACGTTAAATGAATGTCTGTACTTCACGCATAAGATACAATCTTCATCGGGATCAAACAACTATTAATAGTACTTCTAGTTGTTGCAGCGACTTTTTTAATGAATAATTGTGCAAATAAACCTCATCAGTCTGCACAAACCAAGGTGAACACAAAGCGTAAATAGTAGAGGAATAATAAATATATAGAGGAATATAAGCCTTCTAAGTGCATTGCCACAAACATGCCATCATCGCCAAGAGTTGATATATAGGTGGTATTGATAGTATCGATTGGTTCCGAATTAGCAAAAGTTTAATAAAATGTTCAAAAATATATCGTTCTATAGATTAAGGAGTATTAAACTTGTCTTTGAGGTCGTTGGTCTCACAATTTTAGTTTAAGGAACTATAACGCTTCATTTAGGAGTTATTTAACGATTTAGCTAACAAAGTGATGCGGGTTGCATTTGACATGACGATTTGGATGCGTTTTTTAAACGAATCCTTCATATTTTTGGAATAAAAATGCAATGCGTCCTGTTTTCGTAAAATTCTCTTTAGATACCTCATTTATAAATATTGGTGGCGTGTGAAAGCCTCAAACGGTATGCATACTACTGAAATAATACAGGAGACGAAATTTTACAGTTCTGAAACGTTCTGGTGAAAGTCGACCTTAATTTTTTACAGGAGAAAAAAGTATTAAGAAAAAGGAGTAGGAAACTATCATCCTAAAACGGCATTAGAACACAAATTGGAGAATGTGAATGTGTAATGTGCGTGAATCTGCACTGACCGAAGCCGGCGCCGGGCCCCATGACGACCCAGTCGGCAGGGCAGACAGGCCGTCTGCAGGAAACACCACGGGCTTCTGCTTGCCCTCCTGCAGGGGCGACGCGGGCGAGTAGGGCACGCGGTGCAGCGACAGGATGTACCCGTCGTCCGTCGTCACCTCGTGCACCTCCGCCGGGTACCCGTACTTCGTCAGCAGCCCGATCTGAGGAATAAAAAGGGTGCTTACTCAGGAGAAATTCAAACACGATTTATATTTTTATACATTGTAAGTGCCCGAATACCATTACTCTTACGATGGCGTAGAGTTACAGGAAGATTTTAAAATAATTAAGGTTACAAGGAAATGAAAGTATTCCTAGGATTTAAAGTAAAATATCAACAATTTTTATTTCCAAAATTTATCAAAAATATCATTTCAAATATATTTATCATGCTAAACTCTAATTTTAATATTGTATTTGGCAATTTGCGTCGACTGCCTAACTGTGACGAGAGCTTACAGTGTTTTTTGTACCTAGATCTAGTATAACTCCCAAATTATTTTAGTATGACAGTATTGAAAATTGTGTAAGATGACGCAAAACCGCAAATTCCTCACTTGTTCCGCTAAACAATGATACATTTTTTTATCTTTTTGGAAGCTTTATTGCTGACTACCAAAGCTATGTTATGCAATTGTATTTTTAATTAGGAAAAACTAGTTTAAAAATAAAATATTGTAAAAAATACGAAATGAAACAGAATTTATTTCCAGGTAAGATTATTATTAATTTATTTGCAAAAAAAGCAGTAATAAAATTATGCGACATTGGTGGGGAGACATAATCTAAACTCATTACAAATATAATAGAAGAGACCATCAGCATTTGCTTTGTATGCAAATAAAAATGGACAAAAAAGTCCAATCGACCCGGAATTGATTTAATTTTGCAGGTCATTAGTTATGTTAATATTGAACATTACATTTATGTATTCAGTGGTACCCACTGAAGGCCAAAAGAGGAACAAAACTGTTGTTTGAATGTTTTTGCATTTCATAATAATAAGCAATTTAAGAAGAATGTTCAATTTTTCCCATTCCGGAGCCGCAATTCCTTGCCCCGTGATTGTGGGGCAAGTATCACCTTCTCACGTTATACTATTATAAAGAAATTGTGGGAAAGAAGTGTAATATAAACCACGCGGAGCGTGGCGATTTCAATTTCAATAAAAAACGTTTCAGTTTCAGCGTTTCGTTAGAGCGTTTCAATTTCATTAAAAAACTCTATCCCTTGGAAGTCTTGGGAAGAAGATTCTTCGAGATCAGAAAGTGAGCATTTCTTGTTTACGATGTTTACGTATTTCAATTAACATTGATTTTCTAGTCGAATCAAGTCGAGGAGCAAGCAATACGTCTCTAACGTACTCGTGCAAGGAACAAATCTTGTATTAGGTGTACATTTACAAGAACATAGGTGATATAAGAATGTCTGGGTGATGCTGTGGCACTATTTTCCCCTCTCTTTCGAAAGACGATAAGTGAATTGAGATAGATTGAAGGCAAGATTTTCTATCGGGAGTTATTTGTCGAATTTTGAATAAAATGCAACTGAATATTCACTAAGAATTTAATTCAGTCTGTGATTCTCGTAGTAATCCTAGAAGTTGCTGCGGACTATGATTAAGATTACGACAATTATTAAG